TAGAAGAATTCGTAATAACTTGAACTTCCTTGTCAGCTCGTGGAATTATTTTTTGTAAGGAAGAAATTTTTTTTTTCTTCGTCTGATTCCCTGCTTTTTATTCTTCGTACACAATAAAATGAAAAACAATTTTTAGAAGGAAACCTGTTCTGAAGCTAACCTTCTTGCAAACCGTAGTGGAATGTGTTTGGTATATGCAGCACTGATTGTGGGTGCATTGCCATCTTGGGGCCGAAAGCGGTTTTAGGAGAAGCAAGAACAGTTAGCACTCATACGGAAGACATTATGATGGAAGGAATGCTTGGTTGATTTTTTGAAACCCTGCTACCCAACCCGCTATAACGGAGTTAGAAAGCTTTCGTATTATTCCCGAACGGCGAATCGATCGCCCATTTCTTAACCCAATAGTAGCATCTAAATTTTGAAAAGGCCAGGTTAGCTCAATATTGTAAGGGGCGATCCTTTCCAGAATTATGGTTTACTCGATGGAAAATTGAAGTGAAGACGGAAGACAATTAATGAGAAGAAAAAATTTGATCAAACCCATTAGGTATATAGAACATTTTTAAAATAATTGGCAGCGGAAAAGCATTCACATCAACAACCCTCGTAAGGCCACTCATTCACCCCAAATCGAACATTTATTAGAACTGGTGCATGGCGCATCCACATGACCTGCTGTTTTCTTGCTCTTTCTGAGTACTTCTCTACCTCGCTCACTAGTAGAAGGTCCGAAATTGCTTAACTAAAGTTCCAGTTAGGTAGTCACTAGAGCAGGTAACCGCCTCACTTGAGTAGCCGCTTTCTCAGGGCATTTGTTCCATCTTGAAGTTCTCGATGAAAATCGATCTTTGACTTGAACGGTGGTTCCGGACCTGTTGCGGAAATGTTCGAAATGTTTGCGTAGCGCCTTAGTGAAAGCGCATTTCGCCGCTTTTCAACGCTTGCCGCCTTTCAACGGGCGCAGAAAGCGATTTGAATCCTTTTCATGAGAAGGTCGTGCAAAGGATGCAACGAACGTGGTGGTGAAGTGGGCAGCGAATGGAGCAGGGGGGGGGGGAGCTAGACGTGAATAATGGCTAATCAGCAAAACGCCCGCCGCCTGCTAGCCCCTCCCGCCCCTCTCAGTGGAGCTCGCTCATAGGAAAGCTTATTTATGGGAGGGAGAGGACGAGGGGACGGGCAGGAAGCGCGCTAGTCGTGTTGTCTGCACCATTGTAGGATTGTGGTTGAGTCATTATAGACCTTGAGTCTTGTATATGAGACTAAATTGTAAGTGAGAAGTGGCCGGATGTTTTGATGATCCTCGTAATGCAGTGCCCAAAAGCTCTCTCGGTATTTAAAGCCTGACATCTCCGATGAGTCCAGTCACCTTCTACCATCCTTGATTTCTTTACACCCAATCAATTAGCACTATCGATGGCTGGGCAAAAGCATTATATGTAGTTCGTGTCTCATAAGAACGCCTCCAATTCTGAGTGTGGTCGGGTCGTGCGCTGTCGCATCAAGAATCTGTTACGTTCAAGCGTTTGGCCTTTGTTTTTTTTTTTATTTTTTTTTACGGCCGAAGCTTCGTCTTTATTTAAGATTCTATCGATCGAGTTCCCAAATATCATTGATTTTGTTGGACTCTAACGGATCTCTCTACGAGATCCGTCGAATTGTCACCACCCAACTCACTACTGAGGAAACGGGGGTCAGCTGTCGTGGACGGGGTCTTGAGCAGCGGTTACAGCACGATGACGTTGCTTCTGATGTTGACACACTAGGCAACGGCTTCCTTCCGCACTCCTTTTAGCGCCGCTAAGAACCTCATTCAAACAGTGACAGTGTCAGGTTAAAGAGGATTATGACGAAAATGTGGGGTGTTGGTTTCTGCAAGGGCTGAACACTTCCAGGTCGCTCAAAAAAAGAGCACGAAAAATGGGACGAGATCGATGTCTGAGTACCCATAGAGTTAGTTTAGCTGTTCTCAGCGCATGGGACGTCTGGGAGACGGAAATCGGAAAACGGAATTGTATTTGATAATTGAAATACACGACGAGTGCTGGATATCATGTATTGTATCCCATACTGTCATATAGAGTATTCCTTCCTGCTTGTGCGCTTAGATTCGGGGCAACAGGAGTCCCACTGAGGTCAATTGTTGTTCGGTATCTTAGCTAGAAAGCTTCCCCAACAAGAATTACAGCTAGGTGTCGAGGACTTTGGCGAGTCCCGCAACGGGAGCTGGCCGCATAACTTGGATCGGCGGCGCCTTTCACCACAGTCTGCTCTTTGTGCTAGGGAGGCACTCTTTGTATGGAGGGGGGCATCTTTGAAGTCGGTACACTTATGGCACTTGACTTCAAGGACGCGTACCCAACTCAACGGTTCTGGAGACGCGTTCCCTTGCGGAGGCACCTGGCCCACCGCGTGTTCTTCTTGTCTAAGGTCTCCACCGGTCCCACGTTGTTGTGCTTCGGCAACGTATGAACTACGCAAATTTACGGGCGTTCTCGCACTGCATTCCAGCGACAGTCACCCTCTTCAGTAGTTTTGATCCACTGTTCGGACTTTTGGGGAGCGTGGCGTTGGCTTTAAAGGGCCGTAAAAGTTTCAAATAACCGGTTCACTTAGGCCAGTAGTGAATCGTGCTGCTATTAGCCTGGTGGACAACGCAGCTGGAAACGCCTCGTTGAGTGTGCATCTGTTTTAGGGATGGCATTAAGCATATGGACGGCTGGACGACAGCGTGCGGTTTACGATTGGCATTAATGGGGTGCGCGAACGGTAACTCTCAACCCCGAAAGCTTGCCAAAGCGCAGCTCCCTCTCTTTCTCAACCCCACTACCTCGGTGAGGGGTGGGGAACAAAACCTGTTAGGCAAGGTTTTGAGGAAAGAAGGCGGTTATGACAGCTGGCACTTGGCTTATTTTAGCTTCATTGCTTACTAATCACGGCAAACTATCAGGTCATGAACCTCATGAATCACTGGGAATTATTGTTCCACCAGCGTTCATTTTGCGCGTAAGCGGTATTGGACACGTGGCTTTCAAAGGGGCAATACGGACTGTCTGAAGGAAGAACTGGGAAAAACTGAAATCTATAAAGATCTTCACATCTGTCAGTCTGTCCGATTCGACCTTCATTAATTTTTTTGGCATCTGTGATTGGTTCTTTTCATGTACAAGGTCGTCCACGGTCATGCGTCCATTAGGAAAATCACACCAGGGGGTCAGATAAAGGGATGCTTCCAGTGAGTGGTTTGGCATTGAGGCAAACGATGGAGAGAGGAAGGTTCTTGAAGACCGATCTATCCACCACTTCTTTTTTGCAAACAAAGCTGCTTAGAAAGTTCCAAATGGGTTGCAGCCATTAAAACCCTATTGCTGATTCTCTACCTACAATTTTGGGTGCTTCAGTTAAGTATTACCATAAGGTCAATCCATTGGACAGCCTCGGCTGGTTTCACAGTCGTAGGAGCGTAAAGTATATTTGATCAGGAGACAGTAAAGCGTTTAGAGTTCGTTAATCTTGGTGCCGCCAACGCATTCCACTTCACCAAAACGTGGTGGAATTTAAGTGCGGTATGGTCTATGCAGTGGAGTCAGCCGATGTACAAGCAGGCCACTGTTTTCATCTTCACTGACCACTTTAGCCGAACGCAAGAGTGAACGGCTAGTGGCCTAGCGAACTCTATCAAAATTTCAGCCCTGGGCTATGCGCGGAAGTGGCGCCACTTGCCATTAGGTCACCTTCGCCCCGGATTGGAAATGAATTAATGTTTCCAAATAATATTTGCCATTTACGATAAATAATGAGGGTCGAATACATGGCGTATCCTAGAAGAGTCATATGCTCTATAATTTTTACATGTTGCTCATGTGGAGAGATCATTGCGACAAAGGCATTGGGTCCCATTTCCAGAATTTGAACCCCTCTTGGCCATTTGAGCCCTTCATCGCTATGGCGCTCTAGCGATATCATAGTTGTCCGACAGGATTGAAATCTAACTTGAACTTCGGCTGTCAAATAACTGCATAGACTGTTACACACTCAAGGGTCTGCAATTTTTACTTGAAGTTGAGTACGTGGCGCGTCCCGTTTCTATGCATTTCAGTCAACTGAGGCCAATTGTTGAACACAAACCGCATTAACCCTTTCAATTTGTAGTTGTTGTAAGTCTGAGGCTCCCATGAGATCACTACGCCTCACGCAGTTAACCTACTTCTCCGACCCAACTCCTCTGGTTATTACTTGCGTTATTTGTCAAAAACTGAAAAGACTCCACTCTAAAGGGAAGATCCTCAAATATTTTTCGAGACGAGCTGAAGATTCTACCGTAGTTTATTTGGGTCAATATAAGTTCCGTATCGTGGTCAGATAGCTGTGACGCGGGCCTGTTTCTACAGCATGATAGGAAAATCGTTCATAATCAAAAAAACATATCGCCGAGAATCGCTCATATTGCTATAAAGTGATGTCGTTCATGGCAATAAGACAAGAGCAATGGCCCAATAAATGTTGCGCTGATGTTTTCGGTGTCAGGGGTTGTATGCTTAGTTCTTTCGGAGCAGGAGGCCTGGACTTCACTGGTGACACTGTGTCTTCCCTCATTTGCTCGACTATCCGAATTGAGCGTATCAGAATACTTTCTATTAATTTTGAGTAGGTTTTCACCTGATCTCGACGAGGAGAAAGTCACTGGCACTTTGCGGCTCTAAATAGATGTGATTTCTAAGATGTGTTTATTTTTTTATATTCTGAGAAAAACGAAAAAAACAGAAAGAGCGAACTGAGAGTAAAGAACTCTTTCACTTCCTTCTGCTGCTTCTCATGCTTAGATCGAAGAAGATGAGGGGCAGTGTAATGTGTGAGGAAAAGCCGCAGTGCCAAGTTGTCATTAGTCGGCTGCGGCGCGTGGCCTCTCATCACTTCGCCATAGAAAGAGCGATTCAGAGAGTGTAACCCGAACTTGGGTGTACTTAATGCTTCGGGCTTCCAGGAATAAATAATTTATGAACAAAGATCAACGGTTTGTGCCTTCGCGCTACCTCTACCCTCAAAAAGTCCAAAATGGTGCAAAAGTTTATTTTGAAATTGTTATAAAAATCAATTATTTTATCAGCAAACTTAATATTTCGAGACATAGAGAGGTAATGTCCAAAGACAGATAGTAAAGTGATAAAAGAAGTTTTTAAGAACCGTCTTGACATATAATGAATTTCTCACGTTTGAGTTTTGCCAAATGTTAGCTTCATTTTTGTGAAATATTCTTTTTTATTTTTATTTTTTTTGCATTTTCATTAACGTTAGACGAATCAGTCGTCCCCACTCTGCCCTAAGCGAAAACCTCAGCCTAAAAGTTTTTTTCAGGTTCTCAAAAAGCAGACTTTACACGTACATTGGCGAAGTGCTAATTGCTGTGAATCCATATCGCAATCTACCGATTTATGAACGAGATACCGTGGAAAAATACAGGGTAAGTAAATGTTTCGCATTCCAAGGATGCTGTCGATTACTCGATGATTTCTAAATCTTTTTAATTGTTGCAAGGTGTATTAGTGAAAAGAGGGAGCCAGGGTCAACCGTAGTCCCCCATCGTGGGGGGTCGTATTTGGGGTGGAAAAAGGGGGAGGGGTCGTATTTCGCGAGGTAGCGTTAATGTTACAGTAAGGGAAGTGATGATGCAGTTGGTTGCGCGCTAAAATTTTGCCGTTTCACGGTGTGTATACCCCCCCCGCTCGACGGTAATTTTGGAGGAAAAAAGTGGGCGGAGTTTGGGCTGTGTCGACTGGTCTCAGAATCGAATACTATAGAATGAGCCCCATGATGGCGATGGCAGGCGAGGGTGGTGAAGGGTTGACCCTGAGGAGGGGGGGGGTCGTATCGAGGCCCTCTAGAAGGGGGAGGGGGTCGTAAAATTTTCGAAATCGGTCCAACGTGACGGTTGACCCTGCAGGGAGCCCTGTTGGTTGAACAGTGAGAGATAAACCTGAGTAAAGGTGTTAGATCGCGTGCTCTCTTCTGTACTGAAAGTTTCCCAACGATTATTTCGGCTAAATTTATCCATTCAAAGCACAGATGCATAGCAGTAAAACATAGAAAATTCAAGTGGCTAGAAATACACGAAATGTCTTCCCAGTTGTCTTCACGTTCGCCCCTTCTTTGATTTGTTACAAACTAGGCGATTTTTACCATTTCGAGTCTTTGGTTTTCAGTCATTAGTTTTTTTTAGCCTTTTTTGTCAGATGTCTGGCAGATGAGGAGTGAGATCTATTGAAGCGAAAGCTTCGGAAAAGGACCCTTCTTTCCTAACCCTTTTTGTATTACTGATTCGATATATTATTATTTTTATGTATTAATTTTCACGTTTGATATATTATTCATTTAAATACACTTATCCTATTCAGTTCACCCTCAAAATTCAAACTGATGGTTTGATAAAAGTCAAGTAAGGGTCCGGCCAAGTCATGAATTTTCGGAAGTCGTAGATTCAAGATTATGGCCGTAGCGATTTAGAGGTTGTAGGAACAGTCATCTACACCTTGTAATGTAGCACCGGAGCCTACTTTTGACCTGATCACTTCTGAACGCTTTCTAGAACAGAATAGATCAGGAGATTTTTTACTCTCAGATTTTTCAAGAGTATTCATTCAGGGACGCGAAATCTACGAGCGTCCTCCACATGTCTTTGCGATCGCCGACGCCGCGTATCGCTCAATGAAACGCTATGGACGCGATTCCTGTATTGTCATATCGGGTAATGAGTTTGTAGAAGAACTTTTCGTCGTTTTGTTAGATGACTGAGCACCGTCGGTCTCTCTTTGTTGTTCAGTTATACCGATATTGAGAAAAATTCGATAGACATCTGACAAATACTGTGACTGTAGAGCCTCAGAGGGGATATGGTTAAGGAAAAGAGCGAATGGCTTTGAACCGGAGGAATTTTCGGCCCTATCAGGCCTTATCATCCATACTAGCAGCAGTAGGGGATGTAGCAGAGCCGGGGTTGCAATCAGGATCAACCATCGCATTCTTACCTTTACCTAATTCCACTACCTCTCCCCTTGGGGCCCCTGATACGGCCGCGCACCACCACACGTGAAAGGGCTCATCTACAAGTTTGGCAACCTCTTCCTCCCCGCTACAACTCGTCGCCATGGTTTTTGCTGTGGTAT